ATATATACACACATACATCGCGAATCCGTTATTTATTCTCCCAAATAATAAGTTTTTAGAAGAATGCGAAAGCATGAAAATTCACCGAATTATAAAAAATGCCAAATATGTAATAATACCTAAAGGATGATCTGCAACAGGATAAATTTAAAAAAATTGGTCGAAAGTTATTTCGACAAGACTTCCCTCACCCCCGAAGTGCAGTGCCAAAAATCGCGCTTTTTTGAAAAATTAAAAAACTGATTATGCTATTTTATAAAATTTATGATAAACATTTTTGAGATGTCATGACGTTGACAGGGAGATTGGGTAAATTTCGTTAGCGTTTTACCATCTACACCGTGTTCCTAACATACATATAAAATACAATCGGTCCGGTAGTTTTGGAGATTATCAATAGTAATACCATGAGTAGGATGAATATTTGTGACTATTTCATGCATATCGGTTAAGAACCAATCTGATTGGTATGTAGCGTGGGTTTTTCGCGGCAAGCCACAGTAGCTCGCATCCCCATTGGGTCAAAAAACGGCGTTTTCAACCTAGCAAACCATAGTTACGATCATGTAAACAAATTAATTTTTTGACATTATTAAAAAATGGGGTCATTTGCCAGCAATTCTTTCGTAGAAAGTAAATTAAAAATACAGAAGAAAATTGTTTATACATAATTATTATTGTGCTTTAGTACTAACTGCATGGAATAGTCTTGCAAAATACAATTCGTAGGATGGATATTTTTATAATTCAGACTTTTATTAGTTAAACTCAATTTGTATTGCGCTCAGGAAATACCACTCGTTGCTGCGCAACTCGTGATATTTCCATCGCAACACAAAATTCGTTTAGCTAATAATAAATCGTCTGAATTATCAATCGTAAAACCATGAGTAGGATGAATATTTGTGATAATTCAGACGATTTATTAGCTACAGATTGGTTCTTAACCGATATACATCGAATAGTCTGCCTAATAAAAATCTGAACAGACGGCACACAGACTGAGCCAGAAGACCTAATTTTTCATACGCTATGGATCATGAAATGTTGAGAAAACATAAAAGTAGCCAGTCGCCCACCGATCGACTCGATTACAATACTTTCTTTACTTACGCTCAGGAAGTAAAAATAAAATTCACAAAATTAAATTTTATAATTTTTCGAAACACAAAATATTTGTAGACACGTTTCGCCAACCACGTTAGGATTATCTAGACAAAGCTAAACTCTGTATTTGTTCGACTGTATTTGTGTATAAGTAACCCTAGACCTCATTTCTGTTCAACATTCAGTGATGTAACACACTTTACTTCGCTACAGCATTCACATCACGTTCGTTTATATATTTGGACGAATTGTTTATATATACTGATGTTACACGTCATTCTTGTAACGTTTCCGGGAGAGACTTTTTTATGCATTCATTAATTAATCATACTTTAGTTTTGTTTAATATATCCAGTGCATTGATTAATGTAACCTACCAACAATAAGGGAAAAATACGAATGCGTTGTAAACCTCAAAAACAAATTTTGGATAGCGTTTTACCATCAACATGATATTCCTAATACAAATACAAAATTTAACAACAATTGGCCCTGAACTTTTGGAGATTATCACTTTTAAGTCAATTGATAAAGAAGTAACTAACAACTAAAGTGGAATCCTTTTCGGTCATAATTCGACGGGCAAGTTGATTTGAAGCAGTAGGAATACGTAGAGGAAAAGTATAGAATTTTGGAGTTCTACTTAAAACTTTTTCTTGCGATTTTGCTTTGTTCATTCTCCTTTTTTCTTCACTCAATCGTTTTCGTTACTCATATTTTTATTTAATTACATTTCCAACATAAAATTCTTTTTCTTGATAACTAATATAAACTTGACTTCTACACATTATTGCAAGACAAAAATACCCCGGAAACATAAACATCAACGTCAACACGTGTAAAACCGTTACCAAAAATTGTATGCAGGTGCACCCTGAACTTCCCAAAGGAAAATGTATTAACAACAATATTTAAAGACTTGCCTTAGATTTGTACTGCAGGTACACTTTGAAGTTAACAGTGGAACACTATCCATAATTTAGCTACCCTCAAAATTTTCCACTGTGAGCCCCTTATATTAATCAAAAACTGGCAACGGGTAAATTCCCGAAATATACATCAGCGGAAACGTGGTGGGGACGTAAATAAAAGTATGAATCGTGCTTTTATCAGCGTGAATAGCTGATATAAAACATATTGCATCAGGTTTTTCCGAAGGTTTGTTAAGTGCAACTGTGCAATATGTCCAACGTCGACAAAAACTGTAAGTAGGTACTTTTACAAAAAATGATGTTAATACGGGGCGGATGTAACTTGTTGAAGTAGTTGGAGGAATATTTAGATCGGCGCCCATGAAAGGCCGAAGTCAATAACTATTGTTTATTCATTTCTCTTATATTATCACTTAGATTAATAAAACTTGGTGTTCAAAATCACTGGGACTAACGGAAATTTTTGATTTCCAGATGTCCTGGGTTTCAGACTACGTAAATCAACCTCTGTTTAAATGCACTCTTTACCTGCGTTTTAAGAATTTAGTTGTACCTTAAACGACCTGTGTCTTAAGAACTTATTTGTATCTTAAACATGTTTTACCTGGGTTATTTTACAACTACTAATTTTTAAATTTTGATGAAGTACCTACTTACTAGGGATTATGAACAAAACAAAAAAACATTAACTTATTTTTATTATTTTTGATTACAATTTTACTACCTACCGGTACAATAACCGTTCATACATGTAAAATTATGTTCTGTATAAAGACAATCGGCACATAAGAAACACGAAATTAGAGATTCATCAGAGTAACCCTATCGCCTCCCCTAATAATGCAAACACAACGAAAATTTAATGAAAAAGTAACATCATTTCAATTATATTAATAATCTGAGGATTTTAATTAACATGGTTAAAGATATAACAGTGTGGACTTTTTTGATGGTAACATACACAAAACGACTGGTAAATTTATTCCTTCAACTTAAATTTATTCAGAAAGAAGATGTTAGCCCATAACAATTTTGCAATATTTTCACCACAGAAAGCTCATGTGCATTTCATTGTTTACAGGGGGAAAAACTAATTTGTAACGTTGTCTGCAAAATTATAGAGCATCTTACAGCTACTAATTTAGTTGGTAGTTATCAATTTAAATCGATCTAAAATGGCGCCAAAGTACCAAAAACCATTAGCAAGGGTTCCTAGTGAACAACAGAAATAAATACGTAAATGATAAAAATTGATGCGAAGAAGTTAATACTTTAAACGTGGCTCCTAAAATCTTAAGAAGGTCTTTTTGCATGTTTGTTGACTTCGTTCGAACACCACTTGCAAACATGATACTTATTAATTTTCTAAAAACATTTGCTAAAAGTTAAATGTGAACCCGTTGTATGCAAAATTTACTAAATATATATAAGTATTTGCGCAAATGAGATGGCTACATTGTACTTATACATCACGTTTTATTTTTTCAAAGAGTACCAAGGAAATAATACGATAAATAACACACCCAGCACAACAAGAAGTGTTTGTAATGTCAGTACATTGTGCTTCAGTGAACACTGTAGATTCTTATTAGATGAGACAGACAATGTTATCGTAAGTCATAAGAACACAACGTATTCATGGAATAGTCGTCAATCTTATTGATTCAACAATGTTGTTCAAAAATGTTCTGGATTTTCAAAATTTTTCCACTGGAATTCATTGTGAAATTTCAAGTATTTCATTCCTCATTTAAATTTCAATTAGCGACACTTTTCATTATTATCTATCCTAGACTGTACATACACGTAAACGTAAAAATTAGGAGTGACTTTATACTAGACTATAGACTACTATAGACTTTAAGTTTATACTTTACCGTAAAGGTCAACAAAAGAAAATCTCTGTCTGAATTGTTTTTAAATTACAGACTTCATCCTTTTGTTACTTTTATGAGATCGCATCATCAAGTTTGTTTATGATTTGGAATGGCTCTCTATTAAGTATTGTTACGAAATAAACCCATACGTTGCCCCGGTACGACGCCTATGGGTTCTAGTATGTACGGCCATGATGACTCATCGACGATGACGCGGCCGGATGGCGTTGGCTACAGAAAAGCCTCGAAGCGGAACTCGCGATTAGTATTCCAGAAGGACCCCGATCGCCGCACATCTAGAAGGAACTATGGGTTTAAATAAAGGCCACCTTCGGAAACGATTATTATTCAGTTGACTCAGTCAGCGAGGGGTCTAGTGAACGAATTCAGTCAAGTTGCGCCGGAATTACTTTGTACATAATATGAAGAAATAGAATTGTTGAGGTTTACCCACTCCGACTTTAAGAAACCTGCCACCGTAACAGTATGTTTTTACATACACACGATATGATCATAAACGAGCAAACAAACATTCAAAATATCAATACATCTGGTGCATTAGGCAAAATATTTAATCTTATTAAGCAATAATAGATAACTGATTATCCTATAAAAAGTTTGATTAGCTAGAATTATGTTGTGATTATTTAATCTATTATGGATATGATATTAATTCAACACACTTAACTAAACTGATCAATATTGTCAAATTGCTCATAAAATTAAAATAAGCCGTACGAACCTCGACTGACCAGCAATATCTATATAAATTGGAAACATTGGAGCAAAAAATTTATTGTGTTGTATTTGAATTTGGCGTTGAATGTAAAATTACTAGGTTCTGGGAAATTTACCTACGTTGCTAAATATCTAAGAAATAGTATAATATAAAAAAAAATATAAATCTCAAAAATTAGATCTTGTCAAAAAGTAAAGAGGCGTTGCTAGTTTTAGTTCTGTTCAAAATTCAATCATTGTTTTCTGGAAGCTAAAAGAAGTTTTTTAATTTTAAACTTTAAACAAATATTACGATTAAATATATTTTTAACTAATGTAATGAAGTAATTGTGCAAAATGATTGCAGGTCTTTACACCTCCGAAAAATCTGGTAATGACGAAACCGGCGTAGGAACAAAAGAGAAACCTTTCAAAACACTTATTTGTGCTATACAGCATATCGGTACAGAATCTTTTCCGACCATTTACGTACACGGAAAAGAAGGTGAAAGATACGAACTCGCTTCAAAATCGCAGCTGAAAAAGATTCAGAAAGTTTGGATAAAAGAAACCCATAAACAAGCCGATATCTCAAAACAAGAGGAAGACGATGCAGCCAAACGCACAAAGAATCTAGAAGAGGCTAAAAAGATTGTTATTGCAGAGGATAATTCGTTACCAGAAGCCAAACGGATCAAAATATGCCAAGGTAAGATGACAATTTTAGCTAATACCAAACTCAACGACTGTTTCTTGCAGGAAAAGAGTACAGAAATCAAAGAGTGAAGATTTATGGTTGGGTTCACCGGCTTCGCAGACAAGGAAAAAATTTGATGTTCGTAACGTTAAGAGACGGCACAGGTTTTGTACAAAGCGTACTGACTGATGTCCTTTGTCAAACGTACAACGCTGTTGTACTGTCGACAGAATCCACGATTTTGTTATATGGGACACTTAAAGAAGTACCAGAAGGAAAAACTGTAATTTCTAAATTTAGCGTGGGTTTTTGTATAAAATTGCAATTGGAATTTCAGGCTCCGGGTGGTCATGAATTAATTGTCGATTATTGGCAGCTGATAGGATTGGCACCACCTGGTGGTGCTGATTCTATATTAAATGAACAAGCATTACCAGATGTTCAAGCTGAAAACAGACATATTATGATACGTGGCGAAAACACATCTAAGGTTCTGAGAATGAGATCAGTTCTTCTGCAAGCATTTAGGTAAAGAAATAGTCAAGTTGTGAATTTTGATTTTTAATTAGCTAAATATTTTTAGGGATCATTATTTAGATCGCGGTTATTGTGAAGTAACACCGCCTTCCATTGTTCAAACTCAGTGTGAAGGAGGCTCGACTTTGTTTAAACTGGATTACTTCGGGTAATGCAGTTATTTAAACCTTGCTATATGTACATTTTCATATTTCTTACAGCGAAGAGGCGTACTTAACCCAAAGTTCTCAACTTTATTTAGAGACTTGTCTGCCATCTATGGGTGACGTGTTTTGTGTAGCTGAAAGTTTCAGAGCTGAACAAAGCAGAACTAGAAGACACCTCGCTGAGTGAGTTTAGGTTTACTTCGATATAAAAAATTATTATCAACTAACGTTGTAGATATACGCATGTTGAAGCTGAATGCCCGTTCATTACATACGAAGATCTACTAGATCGTCTAGAAGACCTCATTTGTGACGTTGTAGATCGCGTTTTAAAGTCACCCTATGCAGACATTGTGTACGAACTCAACCCGAACTTTCAAGTCCCCAAAAAACCATTTCTAAGAATGAACTACCCCGAGGCCATTGAGTATTTAAAAAAGAACAATATTACTAAAGAAGATGGTTCATTTTATGAATTTGGAGAGGTGAGCGTTTTTCTTACTATATAATTTTTATTAACAAAATGTATAGGATATTCCAGAAATGCCCGAACGTAAAATGACCGACCAGATCAACAAACCAATCATGCTGTGCCGCTTTCCAGCCAATATTAAGTCTTTCTACATGTCTAAATGTCCGGAAGATTCACGTTTGACTGAAAGTGTTGACGTGTTGTTACCCAATGTTGGTGAAATTGTTGGCGGATCCATGAGAATCCACGATTTGAATGAATTGTTGGAAGCGTATCAGAGGGAAGATATTGACCCTACGCCATACTTTTGGTACACAGATCAAAGAAAATATGGAACTTGTCAACATGGCGGTTACGGACTTGGATTAGAAAGATTTCTTTGTTGGTTGTTGAACAGGTATCACATTCGCGAGGTTTGCTTGTATCCCCGTTATTTGCGCCACTGCAAACCTTAATAAATATAACGTACTCAACTGTATTCATGCTAAATGATAACCTATTAAATCATAAGTGTCATTACTATAAAATTAGTAAATAGGTGTGTTATCAGGGCAATCAAAAGAAGCTATGCATGTAAATCACAATATTTTAATAAATAAAAAATAAGAAACAAGAGTTTTTGTTAATATATAAATATGCATATACAAAGTCGAGTGGAACCTTTCTTTTAAGTGTACAGTCAGTCAACTAAATATTTCCCCGACTTAAAGAGTTATTTGAAATTTAGCTAAATAGCGCTTCAACAATTTAATTTAAAAAAGATTTCTGCAAACAGCTGCATTGACATTAACCAGGAAGGAGATTTTATGTTACACACCTCTACACTTTCTCTAAATGTTATCTCGAAATTAAGCGAAAATTTTTCAAAACTGAAATGGGTCTTTCACTGAAAATATACAGGATTAATCACAAGAAGCTCCACCCCTAAAAAATTCAAGGTACAGCCAGAAATACATTTCAAAAGCATCTTTGATATTTCACTGTTTTACAACATTAAAAAAAAAATTAAAACATAGTTATCTGACGAGCGAGGAGCGTCTTTAATTTTTAAGGCTAATAGCAAATCTGGGGACTATCATCATAACATGAACTAGGAAAATTTTGAAAAATGGTTCAAAGAACAGTTGATATCAAGTTTGGGGGAACCTTCTCTTATTGTGATAGATAACGCAAGTTATCATAGTAGACTTGAGGTGTCAATTTAGTCTTCATAGTTATTTATATTGCGACGAAATTCGGACGGTCCGGAATCTCGCCGCTAACGTGTAGTGGCGGCGTATTCTCCAATTGTTATCATTTTTCCAGGATATCGTAAAACTTATCCTCTCTTTTTCCACCACCGACACTTTGCGTTATGCTGTGAGAAACAAAAACAACAGAACGCTATTTCATTTTAACTTAAGCGGATATGCGAGAGAGAAAACACATAGTTCCGCCTGTAGGAGTAAAATCGGAAGTTTGACAGAAGTTCTCAAACACTTATGTTTTGTTGCAGGCAAAATGCAAAATCGAATAAACAGTTTCCACCGTCCACTTGCACAATCTTAATGCGTTTTCCCATTAGTAAGATATTGTGAAAATTAAACATAACACTAACTTAAACACTAACTTAAAATTTACATTTCATCTATTTCATTAAACATCTCCTTTTCAAGTTCAACAAAACAGTATCTTTTGTTTGTGAACTTCTGCTTTGTACGCACCTTCCGGTAGATCTTTAGGACCGCCCCTAAAATGCTAGGCAATACGTTTCATCTCAACCGCAATAAGAAAAAGTGAAACAAAAATAGTAACGTTTGAGAAGTATTATTTGTTACGGTTTTACAAGACTATGGAATTCTTCTAACAAATAGACTTTACCTGGGTGCCAAGCCTTGGGCCGACTAGTGTCGCTGATTTAAACACGCGTCTGGCCGACCTAAGCTTATGCGGCGACCTTCACGTCAGGAGCGGCGGTCGCTCGGGCGCCAGCTCCCTCTCCAGGGAGGAAGCGCTGGGGTTGCTTTCAAGTGGGAGACACGGATCTCAGGTGGTGAGCGCCCACAAAAACAAAACAATAAAAAAAAAGGCAAAAAATATTGTGAATAATAATCGGGTTTATGTCCTGCCACCAACTACAGGTCTAAAATAATAAATCTTACGGCGAACCTTAACTTAAATATGTAATAATAGATCGGTTTTACAAACAAAATGAAACGAAAAGAATTTAATGTCCAAGATGGTCGTTCCACCTGGGCGGCGACTTCCTTCAGGACGGACTCCTCCTGGACCGGGGGGCGGCGATCTTGAATCTGGAAATCACTCGAAGACGGTACGGTGATCTGGGTGGGGAGCGCGGTGGCAGTACACGACGGTTTCGACTTGTGACGATGACGACAGAAAAAAAAACCGGTGACGGTGGTACGTTTTTTCGCTCGGGGGCGGTGATTCAAAAACCGATACGTAAACGGACAGGCGACCCAAAAGGTGCTTAGGGAGGTCGAAGGGTCGAAATGCACTTCTCAAAACTTAAAACTTGAAACTTGAAAAAAAAAAATCAACCACAGCACAAGGGCAGCACTTCTTCCCTTCCGAAGACTTCAGGCCAGAATCCTCTTCCACCGCGGCGGCGCGGCGATCGCGGCTTTACCCCCGGCTCTAGCGGTACGCGTCACGAAAATTCGCTTCCTTACAATATATTGCAATAAAATTTTACTTTATTTGTAAGAAGAAATTCCTGGAAAAAATTGGGCAAAGACAAAAATGATAGTATATTTAAATAAAAATAGGATTAATGATCCACCTAAGGCCATAAAAGACCAAATCTGGGAAATATTGGCTAAAAAAACAACCCCAAAAACGTTATCATTTAGATTTATACTCCCAACATCGTGAGCATTGGGTATTGAGGCTGCCACCTTACCACTGTCATTTGAACGCTATTGAAATGGCATGGTTTGAAGTTAAAATAAATTCTGATAAAATCATTCCAAGAACCAGATCTTCCCCTAATGATGTTTGTGCAACTTAGCAAAATGTAATTGATCAAGTTCCGACTGTGCATTTTAAAAATTACGTTAAACATACTGATAAAATAATAAATTATTGTGCTCGGGAAAATGAAAAAAATTTAGATATTCCAGAACAGAATGAAGTTATTATTAATGTTAATAATTCGGATGATAGTGAGAGCGGAAGTGATGATGATAACAACAACTTTGAAGATTTAAAGTCGATTTATAAACTTGCCGTTGACATTGATGTTCGCCGTTGACGTTGCCGTTGTAAGATAAATACGCAGCGAAGGTATGCGTCGTTTATATCATCCGTTGACGTTGCCATTGAAAGTTGGCACACCGTTGGGGTGACGTTCAAGATGACCAACTTTTAACTTTCGCCGTTACGTTGCCGTTGACGTTGGGTTTTCAACCAATCAAATTGCGGTACTGTCCAGTGTTTGTCAACTTGAAGGAAAATCCTCTGAAGTAGGGGCAGCATTTTTCTGGTTGACAGCACTAATTCCACGAAAAAAAAATGTTGATAGAGATAGTGATGTCCACTAATATTAAGCCATTTAATCACCTGTTTACCGAAAACCTCATATTTTAAATAGCTACCATCATTTTCTACATTGTAGTTTTCTGTCAGTACCTACGCATTGTTAAAGATAGTACTCGACGTTTAAATAAATAAAAAAAAAACAGATTAGGTATTATAACTTCAAGCGTAGTCTTCTTCTCCGCCCCTTAGCTTACGACGAATAAAAAAAATCATCAGAATTGAGATAGTGTGGGTGGGCGGGGCTTACAGTTTGCCTTTTTTTTTCTTAATATACATAGCCATCTTTTGACAACAAGAAATTTAAAACATGGTTAAAATGGTACATTACTGCAAGGAAGTATGGATTTTGCAATTATGGGGCGGAGCCTAATTGGAAAATCGACATTTCCTCATACAAATTTTCCATTTTAAACATGTTTTAAGTTCCATGTTGTGAAAAAAAGTCTACACATATTAAAAAAAAAGGCAAAATGTAAGTCCGCCCACCCGCCCTATTTCAAGTGTGATGACTTTTGTATTCGCCGTGAACCAAGGGGCCGGAGCTTAAATGCAAAATACTTATTTCTTTGCAAGAAATTAAAAACATGTTTTTGAGTATCCTGTTATTCAAAGAATACTATGCATATTAGGAAAATAAGGCAAAATGTAAACCCCGCCCACCCACCCCATCTCAATTGCGATGACTTTTTTATACTTTGAAACTTAGAACACGTTTAAAATGGTAAATTTTTGTAAGAAAATATGGATTTTGCAATTAGGCTCCGCCCCTAGGTCTGCCAACGATGGAAAACTTCATTACTATTTAGATCAGGGCTGTTATGGGTGGAGCTTAATCTTTGGCTTTAATTTTTTCTTAATATATGTATGTATATAGTCTTCTTTGAATAACAAGATACTCAAAAACATGTCTTAAATGGTAATTTCTTGTAGAGAAATAATAACGATTTTGCAATTAAATTCCGCTCCTTTGGCTCTCGACGAATATAAAAAAATCATCACAATTGAGGCAGGGCGGGTGGGTGGGGCTTATATTTTACCTTATTTCTTAATATACGTAGTTGTATTTTTAGAACAAGAAACTTAAAACATGTTTACAATGGTAAATTCTTGTAGATAAAATCGAACTTGCAATTAAGCCCCGCCTCTCGATCTGACAATTAATCAAAAGTTCATCACAACTGAGAATTGAGATAGGGGCGGGTATGGGATGTGGCCTAATCTTTGACTTTACTTTTTTCCTAATATACGCAGTATTCTTTGAACAACACAATACTCAAAAACATTTTTAATTTTTCGTAGAGAAATAAGGATTTTGCACTTAAGCTCCATCCTCTTGGCTCACGACGAATAAAAAAAATCATCACAATTGGGGTAAGGCGGGTGGGCGGGGCTACATTTTGCCTTTTTTTTTTCTTAATATGTGTAGACTTATCTCGACAACAAGAAACTTAAAACATATCTAAAATGGTAAACGTTTGTAGTAATCAACTTAAACCCTCCACTTTTCATCTACAACCCCTTTAAATAAGGCAAAAGTTGAACATCAAAGTTACTATCAACGGCAACTTGGCAACGAAATTTATAACTGCATTGGGAACGTCAACGTCAACAGCAAGTTTAGAAATCCCACTTTAGATGTCGATATGTTATAACTTGAAACTTTTTCTTATTAAAGCTTCCGTTTTTTCATTGTTTAATGAATTTCAATTAATTAAGTAATTAAATGATCCAGTTGATAAAAAAGAAAAGTCAAAATTTACCATTTTTTTAGCTGATAGTTTAACATAATAGCAGAATATAATAGTTTTTGATGGTGTACTGTATTCATTCAAAATAAAGTTGTTGTTTGAAATATAACAATTGGAAACAAAGGATGTACGCTACTAATTCATGAGTCTCCCAACTTAAAAATTCAATTTGCAAAAAGTAAATATTGACTTTCCTTTTTTAGTACCTGTAGCTGTCAATAATTGCGAATTTGAAATTTGGATTTATCCATTGCAATATATTCGTAATATATAAGAAATCACTTACGAAAATGTTTTAAAAAATATCACATTCTAAGTGTTTTTG